TACTGAGCCCCCAAGTCTTTCGGGGTACTCGAAAGAGGTAAAAGAGGCCGCACTGTTTTTGCAAACCCGTTTTTCAATGGAATACCTTGGAACTGTCACGAAGAAAAAGCTCAGCCGAGACCTGGTTGAGCTCCCTTTTCTTGCACCTTTGTATCGCTCGCTGTACAGCCAGTGTCCCGGGCAAGATGTACCTTGTCACGTGAAAAGAATGTGCGTTCCACCAGCTGCTAAGTCATTTTTCTTTAAGTTGCAGAGTGGCACGCTCCCGGTCAAACCGTGGCTAAGCGAAAAAGGAATTTTTGTCCCCTGGTCTGTGGATTGCCTCCTGTGTAAAACACCTGAAACCATCGAACACGTCTTCATCCATTGTTGGGACGCCGTGTTCTTCTGGGGCATTCTGCAAAGAACTTTGAAAAAAGACATTTTATTAACCCAGCACACTATTCGGTACCTTCCAGTTGAGAAGAGCGACAATGTCCCTTATGATGTTTTCATTTTGCTTGGACCGTTCAGCATTTGGAAAACTAGGATGGAATTCCAGCATGCCGACCCCAAGATCAAATCTGTACATAAGCACTTCCTCGATGTTGTGGCCGAAGTTCAGTCTGTATACTGCCGTACTGCAGAAACCACACCCGATTGGGCGCACTTGTTTGACAAGATAAAGAACACGAAAGAACTTTAGTTCCGCCCACAAGCAGTGTGGCGAGGTGTTTTCATGACATAGCATTATGTGCTGCATTGTTGTCTAATAAAGAAAAAAAAAGCATGACACGCAAAATGGCAATGCCTACTCTGGGGGAGTGCTTTCCCCTTAGCACACAAATGCGGATGTGTTGCGGGGCAAAGCATGATACGCAAAATGGCAATGCCTACTCTGCAGCCTGCTCTAAAGGAGTGCTTTCCCCTTAGCACACGGATGCAGATGTGTTGCGGAGCAAAGCATGACACGCAAAATGGTGATGCCTACTCTGCAGCCTGCTCTGGAGGAGTTCTTTCCTCTTAGCACACGGATGTGGATGTGTTGCGGGGCAAAGCATGACACGCAAAATCGCAATGCCTACTCTGCAGCCTGCTCTGGAGCAGTGCTTTCCCCTTAGCTTAGGATGCGGATGTGTTGCGGGGCAAAGCATGACACGCAAAATGGCAATGCCTACTCTGCAGCCTGTTCTGGAAGAGTGTTTTCCACTTAGCATGCAGATGTGTTGCGGGGCAAAGCATGACACGCAAAATGGTGATGCCTACTCTGCAGCCTGCTCTGGAGGAGTGTTTTCTCCTTAGCACACGGATGCGGATGTGTTGCAGGGCAAAGCATGACACGCAAAATGGCAATGCCTGCTCTGGAGGAGTGCTTTCCCCTTAGCACACGGATGCGGATGTGTTCCGGGGCAAAGCACGACATGCAAAATGACAATGCCTACTCTGCAGCCTGCTCTGAAGGAGTGCTTTTTCCTTAGCACACAGATGCGGATGTGTTGCGGGGCAGAGCACGACACGCAAAATGGCGATGCCTACTCTGCAGCCTTCTCTGGAAAAGTGTTTTCACCTTATCACACGGATGGCGAATGTGTCGCAGGGCAAAGCACGACACGCAAAATGGCGATGCCTACTCTGCAGCCTGATCGGGAGTGCTTTCCCCTTAGCACACGGATGAGATATGTCTCGGGGCAAAGCACGACATGCAAAATGACGATGCCTACTCTGCAGCTTGCTCTGGAGGAGTGCTTTCCCCTTAGCACATGATTGAATGTGTCGTGGGGGAAAGCACGACACACAAAATGGCGATGCCTACTCTGCAGCCTGATCTGGAGTGCTTTCCCCTTAGCACACGGATGAGATATGTCGCGGAGCAAAGCACGACATGCAAAATGACGATGCCTACTCTGCAGCTTGCTCTGGAGGAGTGCTTTCCCCTTAGCACATAATTGAATGTGTCGCAGAGCAAAGCACGACACGCAAAATGGCGATGCCTACTCTGCAGCCTGATCTGGAGTGCTTTCCCCTTAGCACACGGATGAGATATGTTGCGGGGCAAAGCACGACATGCAAAATGATGATGCCTACTCTGCAGCTTGCTCTGGAGGAGTGCTTTCCCCTTAGCACATAATTGAATGTGTCGCAGGGCAAAGCACGACACGCAAAATGGCGATGCCTACTCTGCAGCCTGATCTGGAGTGCTTTCCCCTTAGCACACGGATGAGATATGTCGTGGGGCAAAGCACGACATGCAAAATGACGATGCCTACTCTGCAGCTTGCTCTGGAGGAGTGCTTTCCCCTTAGCACATAATTGAATGTGTCGTGGGGGAAAGCACGACACACAAAATGGCGATGCCTACTCTGCAGCCTGATCTGGAGTGCTTTCCCCTTAGCACACGGATGAGATATGTCGCGGGGCAAAGCACGACATGCAAAATGACGATGCCTACTCTGCAGCTTGCTCTGGAGGAGTGCTTTCCCCTTAGCACATAATTGAATGTGTCGCAGGGCAAAGCACGACACGCAAAATGGCGATGCCTACTCTGCAGCCTGATCTGGAGTGCTTTCCCCTTAGCACACGGATGAGATATGTCGCGGAGCAAAGCACGACATGCAAAATGACGATGCCTACTCTGCAGCTTGCTCTGGAGGAGTGCTTTCCCCTTAGCACATAATTGAATGTGTCGCAGGGCAAAGCACGACACGCAAAATGGCGATGCCTACTCTGCAGCCTGATCTGGAGTGTTTTCCCCTTAGCACACGGATGAGATATGTCGTGGGGCAAAGCACGACATGCAAAATGACGATGCCTACTCTGCAGCTTGCTCTGGAGGAGTGCTTTCCCCTTAGCACATAATTGAATGTGTCGCAGGGCAAAGCACGACACGCAAAATGGCAATGCCTACTCTGCAGCCTGATCTGGAGTGCTTTCCCCTTAGCACACGGATGAGATATGTCGCGGGGCAAAGCACGACATGCAAAATGACGATGCCTACTCTGCAGCTTGCTCTGGAGGAGTGCTTTCCCCTTAGCACATAATTGAATGTGTCGCAGGGCAAAGCACGACACGCAAAATGGCGATGCCTACTCTGCAGCCTGATCTGGAGTGCTTTCCCCTTAGCACACGGATGAGATATGTCGCAAGGCAAAGCACGACATGCAAAATGACGATGCCTACTCTGCAGCTTGCTCTGGAGGAGTGCTTTCCCCTTAGCACATAATTGAATGTGTCGTGGGGGAAAGCACGACACACAAAATGACGATGCCTACTCCGCAGCTTGCTCTGGAGGAGTGCTTTCCCCTTAACACACGATCGGATGTGTCGCGGGGTAAAGCACGACAAGCAAAATGACGATGCCTACTGTGAAGCCTGCTCTGGAGGAGTGCTTTCCCCTTAGCACCCGATCGGATGTGTCGCGGGGTAAAGCACGACACGCAAAATGGCGATGCCTACTCCGCAGTTGTCATTTCACCGCATTACACCAGTGCACAGAAAGAAGTGCACTCAAACTATACCCACCAGAACACAAACACGAGAAATGTTGTGAAACTCAAAGTACTGTGCTTGATAAAAAATCAAACCCAATAGTATGTTATTCGAGGCAATAAACAAAATTCTGAAAACTCTCACAAGCCTGTTGTAATGATTGCGCCGGGTAGCGAAATCAAAGTATTATATTTCCAATATTATTAAAGTGAAATTTAGTTATGGTGCAATGCCGTTGCAAATTCCTCACATTTTGGTAAAATGTAGCAAGGTAAGCACTTTAGTACAACTCTTGCTTTTTTCAAGAATTTATTTTTACAGTGTTGGATGGTTTCTTATGTATCTGACAAATACCTTCCTCGGCAGCTAGTCGTCAGGTGTTTTCGTCATCGTCGCCAGCTGTCAGAATTTGCAGTCCGAGTCAAAGATGCCATTACTGTGCACAAAAATTCTGAGTAATTGGTTTTTGAAAAATTAAAACCTGGTGTTTGTTACGGCATGTGGGACCAGGGGTAATATAAACACTGGTCACGCCCGACAAAATCATAGTGCCTACAATGAGTTTCCAAGCCAGTAAATAACGGACTAAGGGTCACACAAGACCACGACATGTCGCTTAAATAGGCTCCTCCCGTGACATTGGATTGAATTGGTACAGGATTATACAAAACTTGTTAGCGAAATTCTTACAGCGGTAGCTGTTGGTGCCCCTTCGCGACAAAAAATGCTCATGTACAAACATAAAACCCCACTGAGCAGAGGCAATGCTGTCCCTTTCCACTTCCCCTCTCCCTCCCCATCAGCAGTCATCGCTGCAAAATACTCACGTGGTTGTTCCTTGTACTCTCTGCACATCTACAGAACAGCTCACGTACATGCGTTTCTTCCACTGCAGACGCTCCCATTCTAAAGACGTTTGAGCAAAAATAAAAAATAACTTTTTTTTTTACACTTGCAACATTTTGCACACTTGTTCTACTGAAGAACCCATTGTAAGCATCGTACAGCAAACTAGCTGAAGGCAAATCTCAACATGCAGCACATCTTTTGCAATAGTAAGCAATTTTTCGCAATGCTTTTTCATAATGCCGTGTAGCATTCTTCATGTTGAAACTATTTTGTATGGAGTAAATGGTTGCAGTATTGTATGTAATGTTTTGCGAGCACTGAAGATATCAAAACGAAAACAATGTTGGAGTTAACCTCAAAGACTTCAAACAAAGCAGCATGTTCTCTAGAAGCAAAAAATTAAGCTCTCCGACTCATTAGAGTAGAAATGATCAATATTGGACAAAACACTAAGCTTATTATGCTAGTTCAGTGATCCAAACAGAAGCATTAGCTACATAAGCTTTTCTGCCCTGCATCGTGTAAATACAAGTGGCAGAATAACGAAGTTGTTTTTACAAGTTTTAACAGTACCACTAGAGCAAAAGTTGCCGAAGCACGAGGCTGATGAAAGACCAAAGTTGTGAAGAGTTTCAATACAGCGGCATTGCCACCAGTACCTGCGCCGCACAACGAGGCAAACAAGAAAACAAAAGAACAAATTTATTTAGTAGAAAATTGTACACTTTGCAATTACCAAATTCTAAGGTCTTGCATAACAGTTGAGGGCCACGTGACTCTTCTTGGGCAGTGTAAAACAACTTCTAGAAAATACTAGCAGCCAAAAGTGTTACAAAAATAGCGTGCCTTTTCTTGACTTGGAACACTCTTTTGTAAATGCAAGCTGCAGCGGGGCCAAGGCCTCGTCATTATTGGCTGCCTCCAAGTTGTGAACATTGAAACATTGAACAAGTATAGTATTGTTGGCTTGTAACAAGAATGCACAATTGTGCAAAGCCTGCCCTCAGTTGACTAGAGTAGAATATTGAGAATGCCTTTCCGGAATACGGCGTCATCTGCGTCCAGTTCTTCGCCACCCTCCTAGGAGGTCGCCTTGGAGAAGCGCAGGTGCATCTGGTTCGCGACCCGGCTGGCGTAGCTGATGTCTCGGCGCTTCTCGGGGATGGGATCGATGCACACCGCCACCAGAGCTCGCAACTGGAATAGTGAGACGTGGAGATGATAATCAGCATGGAACATTTCTTCCCAGCTTTCAGCGTACAGGCAAAAATTTGCCCCCTCCACAAAAAAAAAAAAACGAGAAAATTGCTTGGCTTAGGTTTCATCTAAATTAAAGTGCTATAGCGGTTGAGGTTTTTTTTTAACGAGAAACACTTTGAAATGCCTCCACTCGTATTACTGTATTTACACAACTCTATGTCGACCCATTTTTTTATTTTTTTATTTTTTAAATCTGAAGGGGGCAGGGGGTAAACGAGAAAATTGCTTGGCTTAGGTTTCATCTAAATTAAAGTGCTATAGCGGTTGAGGTTTTTTTTTAACGAGAAACACTTTGAAATGCCTCCACTCGTATTACTGTATTTACACAACTCTATGTCGACCCATTTTTTTATTTTTTTATTTTTTAAATCTGAAGGGGGCAGGGGGTAAAGCATTCCTCCACTGACAAAAACAAAACAATTGCAATATTAAGAACGCCTCTGCTTGTCACGAGTTCAGTCAATTGTACTTGAAGCATTGAGCCATTCTGTACGCCCATTTCAACACTTCTATATTTTTTTTCTTTAAATTTGCACAAACAAGTATTATTGATTGCAATTCACAAATTAGCACCAATGTATGACAGTGAACGACGCGCTCGACTCCCAGGGGTGGCGGCACTCAATGTAAGAGCCACTCCAGAACATCCACTGGAACAACCTCGCTCCCCGCTGCTGCTTTTTGTACGATGCACGATCGCAAGTGTCGAGATTGTGTAACCGTGCTGGGGTGCTATCTACATTTCTCCGCATTGACACGCGTGATCCGGGCAGTTTAGGATTTCAATGCTCATTTACGGCCATTCATCTGAAAACAACCAACAACTGCGTTGCCAAATGCAAGTCCAACCCATTGGAGTGGATGGTGCTAAAGTGGCGTCTGCAACGGCGCAGGATCTTAATTATGACGGCGAACAAAGGGGTTTCCGCGGGCCAAAGTCTGAATAGGCCCGATAGCCTTCTGGAGAGGCCAGGCTCGCAACGTACGTCGGAGAAGTGCGTGATCAGTCCCTACCCCTCGTGACGGGAGACGCAATCACTGAGCAGGCGCAGAAGATGCGGTTGACGCGGCGATTTGAGGTGCCAGATTTCGTTGAACGACGCCGACATCTTGCCTTGAAAACGTAGCAGCGACGACGACGGGAACGACAGCACCAGTGCAGACGAACCGTAGTTTAGTCACAGACAGAGTGAGAATGACAGGGAGCAGCTTCAGTTGTCCCGCCTCCGGTGCAAGCTTCCTAGCTTCGATGGCGCTTGGGCATCTCATGCGACTCACGTGTGCATGCTCAGCCAAAGCACGCCAGGAGTGCATGCTGGAGGCCAGGTTTTCGAAAGATGCGCTCTGCCGTTCTCACATGTTCGCTGTAGAATGTACCCCTAAAGTATAATTTTTTTTTTGGCTGGCAATGTGCAATGTGAAGGCTAAATTACCTAAGCATCAAAGAGAATGCTTGGGACGTAGGTACATGTGCGCTCGCCTTCCCTATACAGAATTCAAGTAAATAACTAAAATAAATTGTTTGTGAAATGCACGTGCAAAGTGCCATTTGTTTTAGAGTTTTGCTTTCGAAAAGTTACACTACTCCTTTCTAGTATGCACCGCCTTTTCCACCGCTTGGTGCCGGGTATGTCGACGAGTCATTTCTTCTTTCCATACTTATTAAACTGCATTTGTTTCTTTTCCGATCTAAAATCGTAAACAAAAACTACTTTTATAAATAATTGAAACGGTTCGCGCCACTTGTATTTTGTATTTCGCCTAAAACGAAGCTTTTAGCGGCTCTGAACAGTAGTAAGCTTAGGACCTAAGACATCACATATCGCGCGCTTTCGGTACCGCGGGTCGCCCCCGTCGGTGGAGGATCGAGGTTCCCGTGTCGTCCGGTTAAAATATGATGCACTGATAATTAGTTACTCTCTCCGTGCCCGCTGGCTTGCCCGAACCCCAAGAGACGTGGAAACCGGAAAAATGTTTGACGCTTAAATATGATTGCAAGGCCCCTTTAAGAGAAAGAAAGAAAAAAAAATTTTTGTTAAAATGTTTAGAAGAAAGAAAAAAAAAACGAATTGAGCAAAAAAGGTTGATTGAAAAATGCCATATTTACATCTACCAACATATAGAGACATGGTAATCCTGGACCGGAAAAAAGGGACGTAGGACAGACACAAAACTCCAAACACAGCTAAAATTTTATTTCACCTCGTCGTTCAATAGACCTACGACCAAGCAAACACAGACATAAAAGGTTTGGCAGCAAAGAACCAACGTACGGCCAAGCGAAGCAGACACAAAAGGTTTGACAACAAAAATCCGCTGAACGAAGTTGTGCCTTGAAGCAGCAGGTGCTTCAAGGCTACCAGTGTACACCGGGGGAAGGTGCCACCGCAGAGGAGAAAATATGCCCACCTCATCCGAGTATATGTTGCTGGGGATGGGGGGGTAGTCGCTGTCCACTATCTTCTTGAGGAGGGAGAAGAGGTTGCGCTTGTCACAGTGGAACGGCGACTGGTGGGCGGCCATCTGCACATGCGTCCCACAGGACTCTCGATATTGGATGCCACGGTGGGGCCAAAGGCACCCATAGAACGCGTCGTGCCCGTCAATATTATTTTATATTACATATAAAATAGTAAACCCTACTTTGGATTTTAGCAGTGTGGATTACAGTGGCCGGAATATAACCATCTGGCAAATTCAGTGATGGAAGAGGCATTAGACCTTTTGTAGCAGGTTTTGTTGCAGGTAAAATACGGGCTTGGAGCTGCTACCGATGTTTCTGGATCACTATGCAAGTTCATATATGACAATGATTGAGGGTTCCTCTTTGGTACTGAAGCATATTGTACTTTTTACCTTTTGTAATAAGAATAAATAGAATGCAAAGAGAATACAGAGCCTTCTTTTTAGAACTCTGGTCTGGTCATTGGAAGTTCCACTCACTACTTATACTGGGTTCAAAGTTTTCGGTTTAATCCGATGAAAAACAATAAAAATACGCCAAATTCATTTTCGGAAATTCGGTTTTAACCGAAAAAGGTCAGTTTTTAGATTTGGAATTTTCGATTTAAACCAATAAAAACCGATAAAACTATGTCAAATCCATTTTTCTAAAATTCAGTTTTAACCGGAAAAGGTCACTTTAACCATCCCGTCGTACCGCAGAGCCAAAGCGAAAAAGTGGAACGACAGTGTTTATCGAAACGTGTCTGAACGTATGGGATACATGGATGCCATCACAACATTTTGGTGTAATGTGCGCAGCATCGATCAGAATATGAAGTCCGAAATGCTCCATGACTTCACTATGTGCAAGCGTATTTTTAAACTTGTTGTAAGAAGACTGACTTGATGCAAGCTCTGCATGTTGTGTTGTGCTTCAAAACGTTGCACGGTGTCTCTTTTGGCGGTCACAATTGGTTGATTGCAGTCTTGGGTAAGTTACTTTTAAAAAGGAATTCGTTACAGTTACAGTTACCGCAACGAAAGAGTAACTCATTACAGTTACAGTTACTTTTAAAAAGTAATGACGTTACTTTTCAGTTACTTTTCTATAACACAAAAAAAAATTTGAAAAAACTAGAAAACGCCCCTTACCGTTTTATTGCATAAAATTAAAAAGTATGCTTTTTACTTCATATTGTAACTTAGCAGCAGTTGCTTCCCAGAGTTAGTGTTTGAAAGCTTCCACACCAGAGTAGTGGCGCAAATCAAAATACGAAACATGCGCAATGCGGAGTAGTGGCGCTAATCAAAATACGAGACATGCGCAGTGCCCTCCACGTGTATTGTTGTTTCACAGTTGATTCACCTGATTAAAAAGGCGTTCGCACAGAAAAAAGAAAACCACAACATAGATCGTGCTTCAAGACACTAAGATGCAAGTGTTCAGTCCCAAAGTACAAGCGCGTGCGTAAAGATAACTAGATATTTTTTCATGAAATCTAGACGTGGCTAAATTCGTGTCTTGACTCGCAAGAAAGAACGTATTCACAACTTTGTGCAAGGCCAACTTGACACTGGAAATGTCGGAATAGACGATTTGGAAAGTGCAAAGAATGGCTAAATTGCACTCGTTCAGTGATATATTATTCATAAAACACTGGAAAGTAACGACAAAAGTAACGTCGTTACTTTCATCGTTACCTCAGAAAAAGTAATAGAACTACAGTTACAAGTTACATTTTTAAAAAGTAACTCATTACAGTTACAAGTTACCAAAGTAACAAAGTTACAGTAACGCATTACTAGTAACACGTTACTACCCAAGACTGGTTGATTGGCCGATTTTGGCTCAGGCAGCGCTTCATCTCCTCAGCCTGCCAGTGTCCAGTGTTAGCGTTGAGAGGGCATTTTTGAAGCTCAGGGTCATGGTAACAGGAAAGAAAGAGTGCAGATCAACCAGGAGAACCTGGGAAAGTACATGTGTGTGTACTATAAGATCACGTAAACCTGACATACAGAAGGTGAAGTTCCATATTTCTTGGGCATAGGCTTCATATCTGACTTGTTTGCACTTCTGTGTTTTTTTTCTTGATTCTTTTACAGTTGCACACATTTTCCAAATAAAGTGTCTATTTCTTTTTCAATGTATCTGTGCCGTTATTCTTTGAGTGATCACAAATATCAGAGCTACAAGGATCATCTGATCCGGTGTCCGTTGGTGTTTATTTTATATTCATTATAATTATAAGGTATTAAAAATTGCTGAAAAATGAATTGTAGTGAGACACTTCATTTTGGATAAAGCCTCTCTACCCTCCCGCTTTTACACTAGGTAGTTTTCTTTAGCCTGTCAATATAATTTCTGCGAAATGTCAGCAGAAACCAACATATTTGCTAACACGTCCATATCTTGTGCTTTAAAGGTGACACTGACTTTTGGTTCCAAGAGCCACATCTTCCTTTACATGTTCTTTCTTCCGCTTAAGTGCAGCGAATGTCCCATGACTTGCACTTTGAGTATGTTTGAGATACTGAGTGTAGCAGATAAGGAGACCAACGTGACCTTGCGGACTCACTTTCCCAACGACGACACGCGCTTCTACAGTCTCGCTCCATCCAGCTGTCACGCGGACGATAGCGTGACTTTGCTGCTGTTGTTTCAAAGTTTTTTTCTTTCATTTTTTTACAACACAAGTTTGATAAATAAACCTGTTTGCAGTTTACGCTGGTCGAGCCTTTTCCATTCCTGACAATGCGGTAAGTCAAGACGCTGGGAAATACATATATTTGGGACCATTTTCCTGTCCTACTTATCTAAACATGAAGGCCGGCCAATGATAAAATATTCTCTTTTTTATTCTTTTTTTTGTTCACGCCAATCTTGGAGCAGGTGTGGCAAAATTCTTAGCAGAACTGACGTTTTGGCGCAAGGTGTACCAGACTTTTGTAAATGATGTAATTTGATGCAAATGGCACAGTGCTTTCATCGCTGCAAATTACAACTTCTAGAATAAAAAACAAACACATCTGCAGTGGGATGTGAACACTAACGGCAATAATCAGTGCAAAACTACGTTATTGGTAGAGGCGTCTGAATACTGAGTATTTTTACTGTGAATCGACCAGAACTACTAAAAGTTGTCTGCGAATCGAACGGAATTTTTGAATTTAAGAATTTTACATTCGTGGATACTTTCATACCTAAAGCTCAAATTCTTTTTTTCAGCAAACATACTTATACAAAAGGAAGTTTCATTTCATTTTCCCCGCTAAATTTAGCGGGGAAAATGATTGCACATGACTTTGCGTCACGTTACCTATGAATTTCAGTTTCTCCACCAGATTTAGCAGGAAAATTGACTTCACATGACTTCAAGAGCAATTCAATTCCCCGCTAAATTTAGCAGGAAAATTGTCATTGCTATAAAGTGGACACGACCGACCCCTTTCGCAGCATGATGGCAGCTGAGGTTTATTGTCAGAAAAGGAAGGCTTGAATAAAGAAGAAGAAAACAGACATGGAAAGAAACACCGACACGTGCAAGCGGTGCTGGCCTCTCTCGCACCATCACGTCACTGTCAGTAATTACTCTGTTGCTGCATCGTCACTTCCCAACAGTCATCACGTGACCTCAACGCCAATTCAGTTTCCCCGCTAAATTTAGCGGGGAAAATGACGTCACATGACTTGGTGTCACGTCACCTATGAACAAATCCAGTTTCTCCGCCAGAATTAGCAGGAAAATTGACGCCACGTGACCACAACAGCAAGATGAGAGGAGGAGGAAAGGATGAGGAGGGGAGGACGAGGAGCAGAGGAGGAGGGGAGGAGTAGAGGGTATGAAGTAGGAGGAGGAGGAGCATACACTCCCCTCCTCCTCAAGAGCTGCACTCTAATCTCGCGGAAGAGATTCGTAAACATCTTTGTTTTTGTTTTTTTCTCCGAGTTTGGGGGTACAGTTACCGTTAAGTTTCGAGAGAACACCCACCCGCAAGAGATCGCCCATTCCGTTTTTCTGGCTAAATATCTGTAACATAAAAATTCCGAAACATCGCCCACTTCCCCCCGATCTCCGTCAGACATCATGCAATGTCCGACGGGAATCGCATCAGCCGCGCAATTTGCTGTACCGGCAAGTCTCACAAGCCAGTTTATAGCGGGTTCTTGAGTCTTTGTCCACAATCTGCGCACGCGATATCGGCTCCCGTAACATGCGAGTTGTTCCCACGTGTATGTTGCACTGCGAGATCCGAATCTGCTGCATCCGCAATCTGCAATATCCGTTCCCGTGACAAAGTTTGCAGCGGATTCCTGCCTTTTTGTCCGCAATCTGCGTGCGTGATATCGGTTCCCGTGACAGGCAAGTTGGTAGTGGGTTCCTGCGTGTTTATTGCACCATAAAACTTGCATCTGCTGTGTCCGCGATTTGCGGCATCCGTTCCCGTAATATGCGAGTTCTCGCTGGATTTCCGCAGGTCCTTCGCACCGTTAAACACGAATCTGCTGCGTCCGCAAGCTGCGGTATATCTTTTCTTGTAACACAGGAGTTCGTTGCGAATTCCCGCATTTTTATCACACTGTGAAACGCGGATTTGCGGTGTCTCCCAATCTGCGGTATCAGTTCCCACGTCATGTGGTTTGTAGCCGGTTTTTGATAAAGTTTTGCTGTGGCGTCCCCAAAGATAGCCTACCCCATGTTTTTCACCATTTATCTCTTCATTTTGGGTGGGCGTTGTTTCGGAACTTTACGGTATACACAAGGGCGAGTAACACGTGCCGAAATATGGTACCTTATTTATTTGAATATAGGCTGATATTCTTTTTCCCACGCCGTCCTTTAAAATCAGGGTGGCCTTTAATTATAGCTAAAAAAGGTTGAGCTACGACAGCGAGCAAAATTTTTTTTAAGCCCATCTAACCAACAAGGTGTTTCTGTGTATCGGCAGTTTCTCCGAATGCAATGGCGGAAAGCAGTGAAGCTTGACATGCGCAAGCTGGTGCAAAGTGATGAAGTTTGACATATGAGCGCCGGTGCCATGCAGAGAAGTTTGACTCGGAATATTGAGAAATTTTGAAGGCATTATTCACAACTTTTGAGTATTAAAATATTCAAATACTTTGAACAGTACAAGTCTGTTGTGAAGTTAATAGCAAACACTGGTCACAAATTATTTAAAATCTGGAATATTTGCGCACCTCTAAATAATAGTAAGGTTATTCCAAACACCTACTGTTCTCGCAAAAAATTTAAAAAATACTTAGAACAGTTGTTTATTGAACAGAAAGTATGCTGGTATATCCCAAAAAGAAAACAATTAATTCAAAAAGGTCTACTTTATAATTTTCATTCATTAAGTGATACAAGATTTCCAGTCAAGAATGACTTTCTTTGAAATAACAGAATACGTAGGTAATTTGAAAAAATTGTACGCACTGCATTTCTTGAATTGTGCCAAAACTGTATCACTGAGAGCTTGGATTTCACCCGATTCTAATGTTAGCAGTTTGAATAAGGTGCCGAAGGGGTTTTTACCATGATCTTCAAGGGTTACATGCCATTTCTGGAAATTTCTAAAAAGTGATGGTACCCATTATTACGGAATATGCAGGGTGCTTGAGAAAAAGTACACACTGCATTTCTTGAATGCAGTATGTACTTGGCACAGCGCCGAGGCAAAAAAGAGGAAGAAAGAGGGGGGGGGGGGGCGGAGCGAGACGAAGAGGCAGTCGGGCTGCCCAACATGTTGCCCAGGCCACGTTGGATGAGTTCTTAGACATAACGGGCAGAAAAGCAAATGAAAGAAATGGAAAATTAATAGAGCACATATCCCTATGAATGTTCAACAGAATCGGCATTTGTCAGCATAACAGCTGGGAAAACTCATTTGCCTAGAGCATCATTGAGGTTCTACTGTAACAGATGGCATCAAATGTTTCTTACTCTTAAAGCAGTATAATTGTTATCTGCATCAACTAAGGCTACCAATTTGTTTTTAAGTATAACATGCACAGACCTGCTTAGAAGCGCTCTTTTATCAAGCCACCATACTGCAAAACCCATGACAGAAGTCTCAAATGTAGCAACAGCACTAAATAGAGCCACAAAAGGGTGAAATATTTTGAAATTGCTTTTGAAATTATTTGAAAATGCACTAAACTTTCCAATAGTACAATTTTATTATGTGGTCAAGTCAGATATGGTAGTATGTATGTGTTGATATTAAAGCAATAAGGCTAGCCTACCTTGTAGCCTTCCCAATTAGTGCACCACAGGGATAGGACAAAAATGGTGATTTGTTGAATATGGCAGTCACCTGAGGAGATATCCCGAAAATTGACTAAAGATGTCGCCGCCCTATAGACTCCCAAACCCCAAACCCCTTCATCCAGCAGTTGCTTGATCGCTGGGCATGTACGCCCTACCCAGTGATCAAGAGACTGATGAATGGATGGGTTGATGGATGGATTAGAGATTGCATATGTCAGTAAATTTCCTGCACAATTCTTCTTGTATTTAAATTTCTCGTTCCAAGTATAATTATGTAACCAAATAATTAGAAATAACTGAAAAGCTCAAGCAAGCATTACACATCTTTACGAAGCTTCAACAATTTTGTGTCTTCTCTTTTCGGCATGAGGCAGACAATAATTATCAGTAGGAGCAAAAGACCCAAAATAGTTGGGGCCAACCGAAATAAAGAACTTAGAAACCAGACAAGTTTCATATAAAATGTATCAACACATCCAAAAATGTGATCACTGTAACTGAAGAGTATGTGAAGCATTCAAGTTCAGAGTTAAGTTGCAGGCATCGCACGTACTATAAGTCTTAAAATGCTTTCTTAATTGTGTAATTCACTCCAATGTTTTCACGAAATGCAGCACAGCAAAGAGCTCTCTGTGCTGCCTGGTAATGATCACCTAGCAATGGAGCACAGAGGCCTCTGGGCTTTTGAAAAAAAGACCTACCTCGTAGAGCAGGCAGCCCAACGACCAGACGTCAGAGCGGAAGTCATACTCTTCTTCGCGTATCCTCTCTGGCGACATGTAGTAGGGGGTGCCCACTGGAACACACGTTTCGCATGAAACATGTGCAATAAGGCACATTTCCTCAGTCAATACAACACTGGATATCACTTAGAAATGTTGTAGTACTTGCACTTTCTTCAATCGGTAAATTTAGAACTCTCTTTGCTTACTTTGTCATGACTAAGTCAAATACTGCAATTCCTTATCTGTCTTTTTGTCTTTTTGCTTGTTTATCTCACAGGCTTCCATCTGATATTTGTCTTTTTGCTTGTTTATCTGGCAGGCTTCCATTATTTCTCTGGTAAGCTTATCTCCACTCTTTTTATCTTTTTTTTTAGTCTTTAAAAGAAGCAGGGTTATTGAAAAAGAGTGTACATGAAATTGCAGCTGTTTACATCAGGAACACATTGAAAATGTTTAGGAAAACTATTGTTAGAATGCTAATGTAATTAATACCCAAGATTTTTCTTCACTAGATACGCAGCAAGTGCCTAGAGAGTGCAACTGCAAAAACTATATTTTAAAAAAGTAATTTATTTTAGGCTTACATCCGCTGAAAAATTGAATATTTTGCCTTTTATGTCGTTGATAAAATCCTAGCGTCTTTCATAAAAGACATCCACAAAGTAAGACAATGCCAAAGTAGCATTGCCCATTAAATTCCAGTTAGGGAAAACAATGAGCAAGCTTTTTCTTCTGCCCCCATTACCAACTGATAGTTTTCCTAAAGTAGAATTTTTGCCAAAAAGTGGAATGGAGAAAAACGCAAAGTGCTTGAACCTCTACCTTTTCTCTGGCATTGGTGGATGGAAAGTAATTTATAAAAGAATAACTGAAGTGTAAACAAATAAAATTTTCTGGGAATGCTCTCTAGATCAGGAGTGGCCAAGCTGACCCGGCCTAAGAGTCGCAAACAAAACCACGAAACTTCCAAGAGCCACGGGGGGGGGGGGGGAGGCAAATTTTTGTTCAGAGCAATAAACGAAACTCAAACTACTTTCAATCTGCCCGAGTCAAAAGCACTCCCAGTCTACGTAAGGTAGCAGTAGCACAAGACTACCAAACTGCAACCTGTCTTTAGATTTAAAACGCGTTCCATTTTTCTTTTTGGGGAAGTGCTTGTGTGACCGGGAAGGAGGCGGGGGAGTGAGGGTAGGGGTGGGAGCCGCAAGCCACACTTTAATACGCGAAAAGCCGCAGCTTGGCCAAATGTTGGTAGATACAAATATGGAACTTTTCAAAATCACCTTTTAAAAAAATAAATCTTTTCTGAATAGCTTTTTTTTTTAATAAACAATTTTTTATATGATGAAGTCCACTTACAGTAACACCCCTGATAGTGTTTCTTTTGCTATTTGAGATTGTACAGTTAGAGTCTAGTCACTCCAGTGGCTGTGGCTCTCTCCAAGACAAGCGGCACAAACCAAGTCGCAAACTCGTACGAATTACTCGGATATATATATTTTATTTTAATAAATGCTAAAGATCCACTGATCTAGGTAGTATGAATAAAACAGTCAGCTGTTACGTGATAAAGGCTAGGTTTAAAATTTGCGCACGTGCCAACAGACCACTTCGAAACAACTGAAGGTGTAGGTGAAGAGCGGCCGAAGCTTTCATTTCCTACTTCTCTCTAGCATATTTAAAATAGAAGTGCCCCTGGCAACCTGTTATACTTACATACTGGTTACAGTCCCTTTCTCCATTGGAACAGAAAGTTTAGCAAGCACCTATAGCAAAAAAAAAAACTTAACCTGAGGGCACACTAGAAGTATGGAAACAAGCATGAGCACTGCTTACGTGCCCTTTTCAAAACAGTATAGAGCTAAAATTAAAATGGCTAAATGGGCTTGTCGGTTTGGACACATCTTAACAGTAGACCGCCAAAAATACGAGGACAAAGTGCAGGGCAACAGCATGAAGCGGTGTAAAAATTCGTTCACACATTTGGGCTTACGACCGGCTGCACTACTGTGGAGCCGGCCATAAGCCATCACAAAAGGCTTGAAGGGACTGTCCGGTCAAATTTCGTATTCGAGAAAACAATTGAATATTATTGCTATTGCCTCGAGACGCGTCGTACGTGCAATATCTGAATTTAATGTGCCCCTCTGCACGAGTAATTGAATTTATACTGGTCCAGTCGCATCCTAGTGTAAACACTGTTTTCGTTGGCAATATTGGAGCTCTGACGTAACACAACGCAAAGCAAACATTTCTGCCTCGTCTTTTGCCTGCGAGTGAACGCTGCAGCTCGCTTCGTCTTCGTTGTTACGCTCGACTTGTTTCGTGAATGGGCGAGATTTTTGTTGCGCGGTTGGGTGCCACAACCACCCGGCAGCACATGCGAGCCAAGACATGACGTTCCTCACCTTTCCGCGAGACGTGCGGTGACGAGCAAAATGGATCATCGCCGTGTGTAGGGACTGGGTTCCCGTAAAGATAGAGATCCAGCTTACGAAGCAACCATCTCACAGAAGAGAGCTACAGCTGAGCTCTAAGTGGACTAGAAGGCTCGTAAGCTGAGGTGTGATGCTGTGCCAACGATATTCGACTACGTCCCCTTATTTTCTATTTCCCTAGTCAACCTATAGCGCCGCTCGGTAGGTGTCAGGGGCATGAAACATGTATTGGCACCTGCCTTTCCCTGAATACCTGCACACCAAGCAGTACTGTGTAATTAAAGCGCAATAAAATACAATAGAATACAATACAATACTCGCCCAAATCGGATCAATGGGTTTGATTAAACCGACACCAACAGCTAGGCCGTCTGGAAACGATTCCAAAAGTTGTATTTAGCATGCGTGCAGTCGATTCTGTTTGACCCGTGTGTGAAAATGAGCTAGCGAGGCTACGATTCACCAAGCTGATCCAAGTCAAGCGACGACATGCATTTGAACGATTCAGTGTTTGCCTTCGACCCGCGGACATTGCCTCCAAGGGAACGACCCGCAGCATCACTGACCCTGTGGTTCCGCCGATATCTGTACCCATATGCTGCTTCGTATACCTAGAGGTGCTGCTTCAGAGGCAAAATCTGCACCCTTTGCTTCGCAAGCGCTCTTAGTTTGATCGGTGGCCGTCGTAGTTGTGTTTGGCTGTTTTCGAGTAATATCCTGCTAAAAGGTGCGATTTCTGTTGCTCACGCTTGGAAACTGCATTAAAAGGAACGCATTTCAGTAGGGTACAGCCTACGAGACTATATATTTTGAAACAAAATACAAGACACCCATTGATTAACGCTTGTTATCCCGACCATCCGACAAATGTTTGCGTTTTGTGACGTCACACAGCAGTTATGGATGCCAGCCATTGACACTGGTGAAATTCGGGGTGCAGTATCGTGCATACGCTCATAACAGAGTTTAATTAATAAGGGGAGATCATATATTGAAACAAAAATGACGTTTGTCTGTATGATGGCTCCCTGGACGAGTGCAAAAACTTAAGTACTTCCGGTTTCTACCGGACAATCCCTTTAAATTGACAATCCAAAGGTCATATTTTTTTTGTTGTTTAAAACGATGCAAATTGTAGTCGTAGGGCCAAAAAAATACCACAACGTAAAAAAAAAAAGATTACCCCATGTGCGCTCGTGCCTTTTTATTTTTGGCGAACTTCTCTCCGACTCGCTTCTTTTGATTTGTGATGCCGAAAATTGTGAAATTTAGAAGATTTGTAAGCGACATTTCTATAACATTTAATATTGGCATTCGTAAAGCATGCTTTTTAAAGGGAAACTGAAGCGGTTCTCTATTTGAGAAAAAACATTTCAATGGCCTTCATTCTACCTCCAGGATCAGGAATATCAAGATTATTTTTCAATTTGGTGCACGGAGGCTTCAGAAATTAATTTTTAAAGTACCGCCGAAGCCCCTCCTTCCCGGAGCGTGACGTCACACTAGGAGCGTTCGGAATATCTGCTCTCGCGCATCTTCAGCGCCTGTCAAAGCTATGCACGCGCACTCTTGCTATTTTCAGAAAGGTCAGAAAGAGACGTCACGACTGGTGTCAGTGCGGGGAAATATACCTGGCAAGCTTGCCGTTGCACGCGCTGAACACACGAGCGACACGCGCTTGGAGGCCCGAAGATCCTAGTATGACGTCACGACTGGTCGAATGTTTTTTCGCTTTTTCTCGCTTTTAGTTGCATCTTCGGGGAAAACAAAAGTGATATTCAGATTCACGGGATAAAAATACGCCAGAATTCACCTCTAACTCGTTTTTTTCAAGAAGTGTTTCAGCTTCTTTTTAACGCAATTGCGAACACACTACGGCCCTTCTTTTTGAAATATTGAAAATCGGAGTCCGGTGTAATGTCGCCTCTTTGCTTTTTAGCCTCCCTCGGAAAACATGGCGATGCCCGATGCATGCAGCAGAGAATGATCGGTGAGTCGGGGAATCGAACGAAGTTCTCTTTTTTAGGAGCCCGACGACCTCTCAGACTTTGAAAAGGAAATCATCAGACGGTCAAAGCAACTGCATTTGGTGTGTGTATCATAGCTTCGGTTGTGACTCCGCCGGGGCAGCCTTTCATGCAGAACTGGCGTGACGTGGCCTCTCGCATCCCTCACAAAAGACCACAGCGCGTTCTCTTCAACCTCATACCGTTTCAAGAAATTTGAGATCGCTCAAAGGGCCCTAAAAGAACTTTAAACTCGAAAGTGAAGCGTCGTCTGCTCGCAGCGACAGGCGGCACGCACGGAGGACACTGATTGTTCGTGAAACGCCGGCGAACACGACACTTCGAGTGGCGGCGGTTCAGGCAGTTCGGGGGCATCAGGGAAACTCTACTCGCAGGACTCTGCAATATTTGACGTTATCCCACTGGCGTGGATCGCGTGGGAACTTCAAATTCGGCATTTGGAAATTGTTATCTTTACTTTGCAAATACTGAATTCCCAAATATTGAATTTATAGGGTAATGTCCAGGCATCGTTTTTTGTAGTTTCGGATAATAAAAAAAAATAATTTTGACGTGTCGGTGCCTTTTTAAAAAAATGTTTTTTTGCCTCTCCGGTCCCAAGTCGCAAGTGTGTGGACGAGCCTTGATTTACAACTGAATTTTTGATGAAGGTGAAGCAGATACATCCAAACAATAAACAAACACGTGCTTGTATAACATACTAAAATATAATAATCATATTGTTCCGCAAGCACACGTTCATTTTTTATGTTTTGATGTACGCGTCTAATCTTTATTAGAAATTCTGTTTGAAGCTATACCACGTCTTGTCACCTTTCACTTTGTCCTCGCTTTTTTAGTGTTTTAGCATTGAACTTTATATGTAATGCAATCAAATGGCAGGTTTTCACCAGAAATTGGCATACTGGCAGCACTGTCAGAAGGAAGCCACTAGAGAGGCTCTAGCTAGGGTGGGTGCAACTGCTAGATCACGAATCATGGGATAGGGACGCCATTTAATTGCTAAATTTTGCTGGGAGTCTACGCGGCAAAGGGTCGTTTTGTTTCCTAACTGAGGTCGTAAGACCCCATTAATGTGCTTGAATAATTTACGCAAGGTATACATATTACTTTTTTTATAGATACCAGTTTTCTTACGATAGGTTAAGTATTTGTTTAACCCGAAAGATGGTGAATTCCGCCATTTTTCTTGGTCTTGTATAAAGAGAAGTTTGTGCCGACTGTGGCCCCAAAAGTTTTGTATAGTGCCATGGTCAGGTAAGCCGGCATGTATAAACTAAGGTTGACTACTACACAAAATGTCTATGCCAGTCCAGCCACGGTCTAAGGGGAAATCTTCGTCTAGGAGCCGCACAGTGATGCCACTGTCTTGTCGCACGCTTCCAATAAGAAAATGCTGGGAGCCAGAAAAAAAAACAAAAAAACATTGATGCCATTATTTTCTGAAATATTCACCTAAGGAATAAGCGGAGACCGTCTTGAGACTGAAGAATCTCCCAAGCCCGAGGTCTCCGAGCTTGACCACTCCCTGGCTTGTCACGAAGACGTTGGACGGCTTGATGTCTGAAATGGTGGGAAACAACCCATCGTTGGCAGAGTGAGGATGCCATTGAGAGAGTTCTGAAAAAACGGCATACCTCGACTAGCTTGCTGGAATGCAGCAGAGAAGCATGTGGAAAGGGTAAGACGAGTAGGGTTTGGTATTTAACCCTTTAGGTGCCTTGGACGAGCTGTACTCGTCGGCTGCTTCCTGGTTAAAAATGCCATGGACGAGCTCAGCCCGTCCAGAGGTTTTTCCGGGAGCCCTCAATACCACGAACGAGCTAGGCTTGTCCAAGTAGTTTGCGGCGCTGATCATAGATGGCAGCACTCGTTTTCGTTGGTGCCTTTTTTTTTTCGACGCCGCTAAATTTTGCGTAATAAACTTTTGAAATTTTATCTGTTATACTAGAGGACTAAAACTCCTTAATTAAAATATATGGCATTTTTAGGTTGCTTTAAAAAAAAAAAAGTGGCACTTAAAAAAGCCCTGTAATGACTTTTTTTTACTAATTTTTAATTTGCACTGAACCTGAGCGCACTGAACGTAGCAACCTAATGAAACTTTTAATTTCTCGATTTTCGCTTCATTTTGAAAGTAATAGGCAAATTAAAATTACAAAAACAAGCCAAAAATAACCTCCTTCATGACGTCCTTGGTTGCTTGAGTGGCCGTAAACTAGAGGAGGGGTAGTGAGCTCAGAGAGCGCTCACGGCTGCCGCACTCCACGTCGATGGCAGGAGAGGGCGCCACTAAAGCATGTTCTGGATAGGCTGTACGCAGCGGGCAGCCAGAGCGGCTCTCATTGCATTTGCTGCGCGATTAAACACTAATTTGGCATGACACTTCATTGGCCACAAACGACAGCAAACACGGGGTAAATATCAGTTCAGAATGGGAGCCACTTCGCGCTGCCATACCGCGAGACGGCCAAACTGCCAGACAAAGCCTCTCGCCGAAGGCCTTCAGAACACTCGGAGCAGGTCCGATCCTCCAGTCCATACGACCGCAGCGCCGCCGCATACATCCAGGACCTTTCTGTGTCAACACCTGATCCCACTACTCCTTTCTAGTATGTGCCGCCTTTTCCACCGCCTGATGGCGGGTATGTCCACGGGTCATTTCTTGTTTCCGTACTTTATAAACTGCATTTGTTTCTTTTCCGATCTAAAATCGTAAACAAAAACTACTTTTATAAATAATTGAAACGGTTCGCGACACTTATATTTTGTATTTTGACTAAAAAGAAGCTTTAGCAGCTCTGATCAGTAGTAAGCCCAGGACCAAAGGCGTCACACATATCGCGCGCTTTTAGTACTGTGGGTCGCCCCCGTCAATGGAGGAGGTTTCCGTGTCGACCGGTTAAAATATGACGCACTGACATTTAGTTACTCTCTCCGTGCCCGCTGGCTTGCCCGAACCCCAAGAGACGTGGAAACCCCAAAAAAGGTGGACACTTAAATATGATTGCAGGGCCCCTTTAAGGGATTAAGATGGTGACTTGCTTCAAAATTCAAAGAGATTTTTTATGTCCATTTCTACAAATGTATTCAGCACCCTTTCGATCTCTCTTTTGTGCCGACGGAGTAGAACGACACGATTATTGGAAAGTTAGGGAAGGAATGCGCCTTTAAACACAACTACCATAAAATACTGCAGAAGCGCCCACCAAAAAATTTCCGTAAGTTGGGAATTCTGAAAATTATACGTTAAGCACCTGATTTGACCGGACAAGTGCCCATGTCTAGATTAACGCAGTTTTCAGTGAAAGTGGGCTGGGTGCTGCCCCGCTATTTCGCGGTCGAGTTAAGGACTTTGGCACTACGCTTGGCATGTACGGTTTGTCCAGTTGCCCACTTTTCCGGAATAGTAAAACGCAACCCACAATGGCAGTTTGTTTTGATCCAGTTTATTTTATGCACATATGTTACAAATTTATGTCACTCAATGAATACCAATCTTCTTTGTAAATCCTTTCGAACTGTGGAAATGCTCATTCGACATTTTAGTAGAATTCGGTGAAGGGACGAAATAAATTATATTAAAAAGCAGTAGGCCTCTTTTTTTTTTTTTTTTTTCTTATCTTCCTTATTACGAGACGATCTCTCTAAACAACCACCGATTTTCCATGAGACGTTAAATCTTGGAAGAACCACTGCCAAACCTCCTCCCATTTTCTCGTGGCAGGCACACAGCGATTCCAGTGAAGTCTCGTGCAGCCCCTACCACTCGAATTGGAGGTTGTAAGTGCCGCACCGATGAAGGGCACCTGGCACGCACCACCGAACGGCCGAGGGTTCATTTCGGCTGTTGGGGAACCTTTTGACGTTAAACTGAAAGCTCGGCTCCCTTCTTTGCAATAAGCCTCAGTCAGATTGCAGGCAACTCGGCCGGGATTCAAACCTGCAACCTGGGGTTCCGCAGGCTGGCACTTGGCCTCGAAACCACTGAGGTGGGTTCCTGCCACTCAAAAATAAAAATACATAAAAAAATAACTATGGCATACTTTATGTTTTACTAAAAAGTAACTATGGCATACTTTTTTTTTTTTTAAGCTGTTAATATACATTTTATAAAATAGCAAGAAAGCACCCTCCCAAATTTGGGAGATAATTTATAAAAACTGGGGAATGGGCACTTGTTATGGGTCCAAAAGCAAAAATGCAGAAGGGACAGACGATAGTGTGTGCTTCACCGATTTGCACCAAGGTGCTAGAAGAAGGGGCTGATAAAGAGGTGCAGCAACTTGGTTAGCTAGGTGGGAGTTTGATACATGTCCTTTGCTTGGTTTCCAGTCTGGGGTGGGAATTTGATACATGTCCTTTGCTTGGTTTCCAAACATTTTAATAGTAGTGGATAAGTGCTTTTTGCAACCTGGCTGCATGCTTGGTATTTTACGGTATACATCCTTTACAAGTTTTTCTTAATAAAAAAAAAAAAAAAATTACCATATAATTTGTGGAAAATGTTAGAATGCAGAACCATGAAGTAATGCTCCATGTTTGAGTAAATCCAAAATGCTCGACCTGTTTTAATCGCTAAATAGTTTTACAACAGAGATTTATAAAAGAAAAAAGACCACAGATTTTTGAGGATTTTTGCTTTGAATGAGCAACTCATATTCCTGCCTTCCCAACAGTCCTCAGCCAAGCTTTTGACTTTGTTGTATCCTTGCATGTTTCCCGAATATGGAATAGAAAAGGACTAGCCGGTACGTGATCAGCCGATTAAATGAACAAACTAGGCTTCTCAGTTTTTGGGTAAAACTGACGAACTCCAAAGAATGTTTAATGATAAAAGTGTGACTTCACATTTATTTCTGAAAAACTCGATTTCCGAAATGCTGCGATACCAGATGGATAATTTACTTTTGAAGACATTGTTGTAGAATCATCCTTCTTTTCCTCCTAACTTGTACTTGAAAGTTAGGAGGAACCTCATGCTGCATATTACCCCTTTCCAACTAGCACTCAGCTGAACTAGCTCATATTGCTGCTGACTGCACCTTTCCAGGCAGGATGAAAGGAAAAAGCAGATGAGACATTGAATATTCAAACAGCTAGAGGTTGGTTTGCCTTTGAGATACAGCAACACTGATTTACACCGTAGATGAGCAATTAGCCTATGAAGTATGACTGCTAACCGAAGGTCTTTAATGTGCATCACGCAGTGCGGATTACACGACCGGACACTGGTGCGATGCTCTCCCAGATCCAAGCCAGGAACGATTCCTAGCCTCTGCCAGCACAAGCATTTGCCCCATCTTCTCCAAGCCACAAGGTGCCAACATGCTCAGCCACCGAACCCCTTCCCAATATCGCCGTTCTAAAAAATTATTGCCTGCACGGAAAATTTATGTAACCTCATCTCTAGACCTCTTTATGGTAGCAGTAGCTTTTTTTCGAGGTATGTACTAATCTTTACGTCGTATCTCGCCCCACCGGACAACCTAGCTCCCTAAATTTTTAATTTGGAAATGCGACACACCATGTGACACAAACCCCCCTCCCAAATCTGGCAATTGAGATGCACATTTTTGGACTGTCCAAAGTTAGAAAGAAGATAGACACTGCACCTCGATGCATGATCCTCTTCTGGTGCATGTGTTCGACGGCGCTACAAACTTGCACGAAGTACTTCCATATCGTCTGCTCCGGAACCAGCTTCTCGTGGTCCCTGAAACGCTGCACGTCAAAACCCCACCCCCAAACGTCAGAGGTCTCCCTCGTCGTGCAAAAGTTCCACAGAGCTCCGCACTGGTTGCGCACTGGTGCGGTGCCTGGAACGCGTCTCCCACTGGTGCGTGTGCGCTTATCGCATCATTATTTCTGGTACCTTAATTTCCCCCGATAACACCACATTTGTGTCGTGTTGCTATCTGCCGTGATCATGGCGGTGATACAGTGGCGGAGGTGAGCGAGGCAGACGCCTCTCCCGCTGTAGGTCCCTTCCCAGCTCGACAGTCCACGGAAACTTGAGCAGCCAGAGTTGGGATGCTGCAACGACGGCAACGGCACTCGTGTCGGCTCATACTTTTTGACGGAACTTTTACGACCAAGTGCCAGGATCACGACACCCAACAGCATGATACCCGCGACTTTCGCTCGGTATCACTTGGGGACCACCTTTGATGCGCGTGCTGCATAGGACGTCGGACGCACCGGCCAAACGCACGTTCCAGGCACCGAGCACCGGTAACATTTTGCCACAGCTTGCCTTCAGTATCTTTGCAAGGTCGCCACCGTCCGCCAGCTCCAAGACGATGTGCACTTCGTCATTGGCTATGAAGGATGCGTAGTACTTGATGATGTTTGGATGGTCGAGCTTCTGGAATGACACGCAGCAACAGGTCTCGATTGAATTGGAGCAACTTTTGCATTCCTCTGGACAGGACTTTGGGAAAACGTGGAAGCACTTTGTTCTTTACTGATGCTATTAATAAGCTTCCCAAATAGGCCAGTGCCACTAACAAAAATGTTTGCTCGTCCATTTTAATACAACCCCTCGAGCAACATGAATGGTACAAGAGGTAACACTCTACTTGCCATCAGACTTAACTATACTCCGTTTCAGCTTACAAAGAACAGTAGCGGAAGCTAGAAAATAAAGCTCCCCGTATTCAGTGTACCCGTCATAAAGACGCACTTGCGCAGCCCCAAGCATTCAAAGCATCGCGCTTATGCTCATAGATCTAGCTCCGTTCCAAGGAGTTTGCAACATTTCCATCTCCTGAGAATGAACAACATTCCATTTTTTTTCTAGTCACATGACAACCCGACTGTTGACAGACATGAACCCCACCCCATTTGATTTTGTTAAATTATCTCAATTCCAAAATAGTGGGTCCAACAAACAGGGTGTCTCAAAAAGCGGCCAGGCTCTTTAAATCGACTGCAAAAATCAATTTCGTAACCTATTGCGCTACGATTTTGTGCAGCGTTGCCCACAGATGCTGCATTTTTTCTACAAAATTTGCAGAGCGAGCTTTCTTGAGAAAAAAGCAAAAAAGAGAAAGGCTTAACTCCTATGGAAATGCAGCAAAGCCACCGGTCTTCAAATAACAGGGCGCCCTACTATTTGAAGACCAGTGGCTTCACTGCATTTCAATAGGAGTTAAGCCTTTTCCTTTTTTTTACTTTTTCTTCAGGTAAGTTCGCTCTTAGCAAATTTTATAGAAAAACTGCACCAGCTGTGGGCAACGCTGCACAAAATCGTAGCGCGACAGGTTACGAAACTGATTTTTGCGGTCGATCTAAAGAGCTTGGCCACTATTTAAGACACCCTGTACTGCAAGTCTCTCCTCGGGGAACTCAAAGGACATGGTCAAAATTAGGTATCTTAAATACACTGGTCTTTTAACAGCACAGCTCTAGAACAGCTGCCAATTGTTTGTTGATGTAAGCCAATTCTTCTTAGAAAAATGTTAGCTGTCATTTTGAGGCTCCCGAAAATCTGAGGATGCAGTTCGGGACCAGTCTCTCCACTGCACAGCTCCAGAACAGCTGCCAATGGTCTCCCAATTATTTGCCGATGTAAGCCAATTCCTCGAAGCAAAACCCGTTAGCCGTCGTCTTGAGGCTCCCCACAAATAAAGCTGGGGATGCAGTTCTCGGCTTTTGCAGACTCGTTGGCTAGTCATGTTGTGAACCAGCCAAAACTCAAGCAAGATTTCTTTTTTTTTTTTTTTTTAAGCAAAGTTAAACGAAAGTTTGACTAGTAAGTTTGAGCATTATGCACACAAACGAAAAGTGAGCACGAACAAATGCTAGCAGACAGAGGAAGGTAGCGAACTAGCTAAATCAATAAAATATGTTTACTTTTATACTGCATAAGCAGGGTTAATCATTTCATAACATGAACTACTATATATAAATAGTCTTTTTCCCATTTTTAATTTTTCTATAGCAGTCTGGCAATCCTGTTGAGGAGTGTAACTTGTTTGAATTCCCAAAAGGGGAGAAGGATAAGTGAACTAGTCGAACCTCGAGTCCTACAAGCGTTTGCGACACTCGCGGTATAGCCGCACACTTGTGGGCTAGGATCGCACTGCCAAAACAGGTGCGAGCTACACAGATTACTGCAAAAACCTAAACGAGCTGCAGTGCTATGCTCCTAAAGGATTGCAAAAGTGCTGCACATAGTCAGGACTACCTCAAGCAGGGCCATCTCCTTCATGCAGTCCACTTTGGCCTTCTCGTCTGCCAGTTCCTTGATCTGGAAAATATAATGAGGACTTCATTCACATTTCATGCAAGGGGCGCCCAAACCCCTTGCAACTTGGACCAATTGCAACTCGTTGCAGTTCAACCGGTTTACTGACGTAATTCCCAGTTGAGCTGGGAATGTGGGCAATAAACCAGGTGAAATGGAACCATTTCAAATGTTTTCATTTGGGAAAGAGTCAGAACTGCTCCCAAGAAAAAGTCAAGGCATGTCACAAGTTTGTTTGCATGTCACCGTTTCCAACAGCTTAGCATGTTGACCTCGGAAATCTTGTCATCAGATGCTTCCTTGTCCTTGCACTCCATCCAAGGCTATGCATACCACCACTGGGAGGCAAACAACGACCAAAGCCATATATTTATATGATTAGTGTTCTAGTCAGTTGCCATCCATACATTGTTTAGTTTTCACCAATTACTCTCGCTTATCAAGCGTACTGTCAACGATGACTAACTCCCTCACCTTCTATGCAGAAAAGGGCCGCAACTAGTAGATCTCTTTCCCAAAGTGTACTATTAAAAATTGGTCACCAATCGACAATGCATCAGTTTTCAAACTTGACATAGATTATTTTCTCAACTGTAAACCTACATGATTTTTGTTTTTGTTTTTCTTTTTCACCAATTTTATGTATATTTTTTTTACTCCTTCCCATTCCCTTCTGTAATGCTCTCCGGGCCTTGAAGGTAATGAGTGAAAGGTCGGGAAGGTGATTCCACTTCATAAATCAGGTAACAAGCATTCGCCACTTAATTATCGGCCCATTTCTCTCACCAGCATCCCATGTAAAATCTTGGAGCATACTCTGTTTTTTTTCACATTTTCACAACATGGCTTTCGGAAAACCTATTCAGGAGAAACACAATTGGTATCCTAGCTTCATGCACAAACTAAACGTTATTCTTAACCACTTAACCACAGGAGGGATGGTGTTTTTATAACAGTGGAAGCTATGATCCCATAGATTAATGGCAAGCTTTAATGCTTGTTAAAAGTACTAGACGTACTAGACGTACTAGGCGTAGCCTGTATTTAGATATAGTACCACTTGCTCACGTTAAAGTGCAGGGCTGAGCTCATTGTAAACATTGTTTCAAGATATTATTTCTATTTATTTAGGAGTTAAGAAAATTTTTAATACAGAGTAATTAAACTACAAATATCTGAGAAATCAAAATTCAAGAAAAAAAAACTTTTTTTTTAATAAACTTGGTATTATGTTTTTTTCCAAATTTTAGGAAAGAAAACTGAAAACCTGGTACCACACTCATGTTCAACGCGCAAGAGCACCCATAGAGAAGTTTAACTCGGTAATCGTGTTTGTTTGGTTTATTCAGACACAAGTCCAGTCCCCTACACAAGACAAGCATAACCCAGAACCTTATTTTGGGGCATTCCGGAAGGTGCTTGGTCGAGCAAGTGGACAATGCAAAGGGCTGTGATGATGGACTTGCGCATTCTGGTCATAAAGATTTGTGTGTTTGGTCAGCAAAAGTCCGAAAGTGCAAATTGGTGCAGCACAGACTCGACATAAGGCGACAGGAACACTGGTCTTGGAGGTTTCTGTCATTTGTTCTGCTGTCCTGAACATTAATACTTTGGCTCAAGTTTTATCATGTTTTCTAATGAGATACTTGGGAGCCAAATGTTGTTGCATTATTGTGGTTATGTGTTGACAAGGCAGCTCTAAATGTCAGCTGCCTGTCAGCACCAGTGTAAATATGAGAGTTTCGAGACAGCGCTTGGTCCAGTTGTCCTCGTGATGACATTACAAAGTCACTTGACATATGTCATGTGACCATGACATTACTGCTTGTTTTAGCCGTTTTTTGCTCGCGACGTCGTACATCCGGAAGATTCATGCGCCGTTGCATGCGACCCACAACTGCCTTTTGCAACGTTGGTTGCATGATGTTGGTTCGGGGCGAGTCATGTCAAGTCGGGCAGGCCTAGACAAGAATGCGGGCTTCATTTTCACAAACTGCCAGTCTTCTACACATCTCAATGAGTGACAAGGCGAGTGGTTCTCGACAATGTTCTTTTGTTTGTGTCACATGTCATCCACACAAATTGAAATTTGGTTTAGTGAGAATAGGGTGCCTTCAGTAACAATTTTGTCTACTCTTGTTGTTAGAGCCCTCTGGCACAGGCTCAATTAAGGCAAGAATCCCAAGTATTCATATGACACATTGTGCACAATAGCTTGAAGTTTCACAGCGTGATGATATCCGACAACAAAATCACGGACTAATGTTGAGTTTGTGTGCCTTCAGCAACTCAGCAAACTATTTGTAACTCCAACAAGGATCTAATCACTAAGATGCAATTAATGCAAAAATGCGCATGAGCTCGACGAGAATGGCAATAATAATCCCTGGAGAAGGCGAACGAAGCACAAGGGGACAAAGGACAAACACTTGTCCAGCTCGCTTGCACCTTTGCATTAATTACATCTTAATTATAACCTTAAAAATGCAGGCCATTCACCCTTGTTGGTGTTAGACTGGTGGCAGCTGGTAAAACCCGTTTGCTCTATTGACATCTAACTCCTGGTTAGCTGAGTTGGTAGAGCACTTGACCGGAAATGGAGAGGCTCCAGGTTCAATACCCAAACCAGAAGGATTTTTTCGGTCACACACTAGTCACCTATAGACCTTTTTCACAAGGGTGCCGCCATCTTGAAATATTTTCACTTCCAGTATGGGCAAAGCATTGCTTTGCCTTTGCCGCGCCAATAGAATGCATTTAGAATATAAGCGTAACCGTCACCCATTCTAGTTTTGTCTCCCCTCAATTTTTTTACTATTTGCACATTGAAATGTTTTAATATTTTTCGTCGCCCATACCCGATATGCCTACTTGGTAGTCGGGGGCGAGAGTATGTGAAAAAGGTCTATAGCTGTGTTTGGATATCTGTGTTATCTGCGAGCCACCAGTGCAGGCGGCTCGCGCTTATCCGTGAGCCGCCTGCACTGGGCGGCATCACCTCCCCTCAGCACTAGAGTCACTGTTCCAAGAGTACTAGGGTTGGGAGCACCCAGAAAACAGCAGAGTCACGCACACACAGAGTGCATGCGACACCCCGTTTGCATCCCACGAAGTTGTGCCAGTCTCTCCCCTCCTATCTCGTCCTGCGTCTGCTACGCTCGCTAGCTTCCAAAGCAAAACGCTCAAGTCTGGAGGGTGCTGCAACTTTCACAGGCCGCACGAGCTTTCGATATATAGAGGGTGGTCCAAGTCACCAGGCTCTATCTAAAATGGACCGTAAAAATCGACGCCTGCACGTAGCAATTTATATACTTTTTGCCAAAGGTGCATTTGACAGGTTGGTTTCTTCTTGTAAAATTTCAAAGCGTAGTTCTCTTTCTGTAAAAAAAATAGGGCCAAGAAACTTGCCAGGGTCTACGACGGGCGATGACCCAGTCCGGTAGCAGAGTGTGTTTGGCGTTCGTATTGATAGATGGTGTTGGGAGCACTGCCCGAAGCTGCAGCTGACCAGCGAAAGAAAGCAGACGACACGCAGACGAAAACCGTTGGCAGCAAAAGCGCCGTCGTTATGCAGACACATTTTTTCCTTTGAGTATTGCTTTTATTGTCCGCATTTACTTTTTAACCGAAGGTACGTTGCAAAAAGACCCTGTTAATTTTAGTAAACCACGGTGGTCGCGAGCCGTCGCAATAAGGAGGTATATACCACCATCTATCAATACGAATGCCGAACACTCCCCCCTACTGGACCCCTGTCGTCTGCGTCGCTGCCAGCCGTAGACCTGGCAAGTTTCTTGGCCTTATTTTTTACAGAAAGAGAACTACGCTTTGTAATTTTACAAGAAAAAACCGACCTGTGAAATACACCTTTGACAAAAAGTTTAGATTGCTTTGTGCAGGTGTCAATTTTTATGGTCCGTTTGAGATCGAGCCTGGTGACTTTATGAGCCCCTATATACATATTTTTTTTTTTCTTCTTCGGCTTAGTTTTTCTGGCACCAGCACTCGCGTACGGGTCTTCGCTTTGCGAACCACTCGGGACATGCACCTAAAACAAAATATTTGCTAAAACCACCCGGCCCTCCCGACGGTCACGTGACACACGCACGACAGTCGATTGGCTCAGATGGCTCGTAACTTCTACCGCGGTCCATTTTAAGATGTCGAACGGTGTCTCGTCGAAGCAGTTGGAGCTCGAAGGGAAGGCTTGAAAAAGAATAGTGGCAGCCAGCGTTTTTGGTTCGCGACTCCCTCAAGAATTCGACACGGTCGCGACAGCCTCTTCAAGGTTTTCGGGAAGATTATTTTCAATTTACGTTCAGAAAATGGATTGCAGCGCACTGCATTGCGGCGGCGGCCGCTTGAATATGGCGCGCATTTCTTCGCACTAACGGGACCTTACCAACAAACACGCGAAGACGTCATACTGGCCATACGTGGTGTCATACGGTCATACCTTTATGGTCTTGAGGGCCACGTGACTGCCGTCCTCCTTACAGCGGGCCCTGTACACCGCACTAAAGCAGCCCTTGCCGATTTCGTGCGCGATTTCGAACTTGTCCAAGCTGCTGTATTTCGGATGCGTCGAAGTGAGCCGAAGTTCGGGCGGTGCTGCTTGGGCCATGTCTCTGCAGCTTAGCTGACACTTGGGAGTCCGCTGTCACTCGCTAAAGTCGACTCGTTTTGAATTTGCGGCCGTACTGGCCGTACCACACCAACACGCCTAACGCGGAAATTACACCGGCGACATGTGACGAGTACTTGACGGAAGCGGACGGGACTCGGAAGCAACTGTGAGCAAGTGAAGAGAGAGAGAGATATCGCGTAAGGAATAAACGGAGTTTGTTCAACGGCACTTTTGATTGGTTGATAGTTTGGTGTTTTGGTCACGTGATGCTCTTTTGCGCATTGGCACAGCGCGCACCTCCTTATCATGCAAAATGATATGTGGAAAAAGAAAAGGTCCTGTGTGGAACCATTCGAAACGATAAGGATAACATCATGACCATCCGTTCTTTAACCATGTTGATTAAATGACTTCGGCTTATGTAAACGACACCGCATAAAGGTCAGACATATTTGTCGAACGTTACAAATCGCAGAAAGAAAAATGCGCAAGAATGCTTTAATCCTGTTACCACCCCGGTTCCTGTTGGTTCCTCATTCCTCAAATCGTCTGCTGATGACATCGGCCTGTGACCATCTTGTCACGTGCCTCTGCCTGCGCGTCTGTTGGACGCTTTTCGGACAAGCGTTTCTATGGGAATAAAGCTATCGAATATGATTAAGCAAAGCCGCTAGCTATCGTAAACAATTATTCATACTTTAATCTAAGCTGAACAAAATTTTATTATTTGTATATTATATACTTTGTATTGTTAACATGTATTTACCAAATAGTTTGTGTTTTTTACTCGTGAGCTATAAAAAAATACGATACTATGCGGTTAATCAGCCGCTCCGGTCGCTCCAGTTACGTCAAGCGGCGTGCGTGAACGGTGGAAAGCGTGGAAAGGAGAGCGTGCTTGTGTGAAGCTGTGTGGGTTGTCAGCAGTCACTGGCGCTTTTCGGGCTCATTACCTGTCATTACTTCCGACGAACTCATTAATCGTCCGTGCGACGGCACCGATCGCTGTCACGACGCAGTGAAGCCAGCGAGGATGCCTCAGGCGACCGACGAGAACGGCAGCTCGGCTGCCCAGGGCGACGAGCCTGTGCAGAAGAGCGCCGTCCAGCTTAAGAAAGAGGCCAAGAAGAAAGAAAAGCTCGAGAAGTTCAAGCAGAAGCAGGAGAAACTCCAGACGCAGCAGCCCAAGGCGGAGGTCAGAGCACCATATTGACGCGATGTGGTCGAGACCTTGAGAGGAACGCTCCATTCATTCCCCATCCACGTGGAATCGGGGGCACAAATTGAAAGCTCGCACTCTTTCCGGTACCTCGCGCAAGAGAGAAAAAAGCAGCACGCAGCGAATTACGATTGCTTTCGTAGACGTGTGTGTTGATCGGTCGCGGAATTGTGCTGAATTTGCACGCCTCGACTCGGCACTAAATTCGATAGGATCAGTGTCGAAAAGCTAACCGTGTTCGACGTTTCCGCGGTTATTTTTCGGTGACTAGTCGTCTGCTTGCGCGGGAGTTGCGGTGACGTCAGAACGACGCCGAACTCTGATTGATTTGATTAAAAGGATAGTGGGTAGACCTCAATGCTAAATGCCTTAAGGTCTACCACTGTTTTTTTTTTGTTTTTTTTTTTTGTATTGGCCATTAAGAGCTTGGCGTTTTGGCATCATCGCAACCCCAATGCAAGAAGAAGCAGACGAACTTATTGGCAGCATATTTCTACGTTTAAAGAAAAACCCATGTGGTGAGAGTTATTATTATTTACAAAATGTTTACAAGAATTCTTTACAAAAGGTTTACAAGAATTCTTTACAAAAGGTTTACAAGACGGGTACTTCCGCTTATATTCATACCATAACAAACAAAAGCTTCGCCATTCTTTCCATGGCCGCTGCTGTCTCTTCTCTCGCCTATATCGCCTACCTCGACTAGTTGTTTTGCCTAAGTGATCAGTGTTTCCTGTTGATCCAGGTGCTTGAGTGAGACTTCTTGAAGTGAAGTAGCGCGTGTTTAGCAGCTGTCGCAGGTGTTAGTGATAGGAAGCGACTTGGGGTTTTGGCTCTCGTAGTGCTGTTTGTTGCTTTTGTTTTCCTGGGGTATTATCTTAGCTTTCGTAGTACGTTTTCAATGCTTTCTTAGCGTGCTTTTCTTTTTCTTTGGAGCGCAGCTCTTAGTCGCCCGTTTCCGGCTTGAGCGGCATTGGTGTAACCGCGCGGTGCATTATGGGACGCGTGACATCATCAGTGACGTCACTGATGACGTCATTAGGGATGATAACGTCACTAGTGATGATGACGTCATCATCACTGATATCGTCATCGTCCCTGAGGACGTCAACGGCATTGTCATCGTCACTGATGACGTCATCAGTGACATCACCAGTGACGTCATGCGTCCCATAATGCACTGCACAGTTATGCCGGCGCTGACGGCAATGCCGCTTAAGCCGGAAACGGGCACCTAAGAGCCTAAGATCATCACCAGTGATGATGACGTCATCGTCACGTGACCCCCGTGAGGTCACGTGACCCTTGTGAGGCAACGGCGACGCCGCTCGGAGGGAGGGGTAGTAGGCAGGATAAGAATGTGAGGAGGAGGGAGAAGGGGTATACCTTCCCCCCAGTACCCTTTCCTCCTCCTCCTCAAGAGCTGTGCTCTAATTCGGCGTTACAGGGAGTTGTAAACGGCTTTCATTTCTGCTTGCGCATACAAATGACGTCTTTTTTTGGAGATTTCAGCTCCTGTAAAGCGGCGCCGTTGCTCTGTAAAGTGCCGTCAGATTAGTAATTGTGACATCGAGTCTTCCAGCAGCCATGTCGCCCCAAAAGATGACAGGTTGAATGCTTTAAAGGGGCCCTGAACAACTTTTTTACTGGTTTTTAATTTGCACCGAACATGAGCGCACTGAACGTAGTAACTTAAAGGAACTTTTCTTTTCTCAAATTTTGCTTTATTTTAAAAGTTATAGGCAAATTAGAATTACAAAAACAAGCAAAAAATAACCTCCTCCATGATATCGTAGGCCCTGGCTGGAGTGGCCGTGAACCGAAGGAGGAGTAGTGAGCTCATCAAGCACTCACAGCTGCCGCACTCCGCGTTGACGGCTCAAGAGGGCGCCACTTAAGCATGTGTTGGATAGGCTGTATGAAGCGGGCGGCCAGGGCGGCTAGCATTGCTTTTGCTGCGTGATTAAAGACTAATTCGGCATAACACTTCATTGGCCACAAACGACAGCAAACACGGTGTAAAGATCAGTTCAAAACGGGAGCCACTTTGCGCTGCCATACCGCCAAATGGCCAAATCGCCAGCCGAGCCCATGCCGAAAGCCTTCGGAACGCTTGGAACCGGTCGGATCCTCGAGCCGGTATAAGACCGCAGCGCGGTCACGTACATCTGGGACCTTTCTACGCTCGCCATTCGTTGGCGCCTCATCCCACTAGCCCTTTCTAGTATGCGCCGTTTTTTCTGCCGCTTGGTGGCAGGCATGTCGACGGGTCATTCCTTGTTTCCGTACTTTATAAACTGCATTTGTTTTTTTGCTGATCTAAAATACTGAACAAAAACTACTTTCATACATAATTGAAATGGTTCGCGACACTTATATTTTGTATCTCGACTAAAAAGAAATGCTTTTAGCGGTTCTGACCAGTAGTAAGCCCAGGACCAAAGACGTCACATATTGCGCGCTTTCGGCAACGCGGGTCACCCTCGTAGTTGAAGGAGGTTTCCGCGTCGTCCGGTTAAAATATGACTCACTGATATTTAGTTACTCTCTCTGTGCCCGCTGGCTTGCCTCAACCCCAAGAGACGTGGAAACCGCAAAAAGGTAGACACCTAAATATGATCGCAGGGCCCCTTTAAGCCCGCTTCGGACGAGGCGATTTCTCCCCGCAACTTTATTTCGCGACACCAGCAACTCAGGCCGCCCGCGTTCACATGCAGCAACCAATGGCTGCAATTTTCTATCATCATCATTAAATTTTATTTTTCTTGTACTATCTGGACACACACTTATGTGCTATAAACATGTTTTTTATTTGTTTAAATGGTGTTGAGAATACTAACTCATCTTTCTGAAACAGTTATTCCCCCAGAAAAATAAATTTCAAACCAGAACCAAGTCTTTAGTTGTCATCATCACTGGCACAGGGTGTCACGTGAAAATATTGCGGCCCTGAATAGCTGCTGCCGCCAGGCCAACGCAGCCGTAGCCTTGGCTATTGTAATGCGCTCCGGGCGTTTGAGCAAGCGAAGAAGCAAGAAAAAGAGCGACCGATGAGCAAAAAAAAGAAGAGAAAAGTAGAGTGACATCATGACGATGTCAAATATGGTAATAACCCACTCTGGCCACTAGGAGGAATACAGCCTTTAACATCCATGTTTTCTCGGGGCGCACTTTCTGCGCTCAAGCATAGGGTTCTTGTTTCTGCCACCTCAAAACATGGCGTTACAATCGCTGCCTCTACTCCTGCCGGGCCGCCCCGATTCGCCCCTAGATGGCGCAAGTTGTACTGTTGCATCCTAGGTGGCCGGTTCGCCGTCGCCCAGTTCGCGCCTTTCTTCCCCCTTCCCCTCCCCCCCAGTTCGCTTGCTTGATTTTATTTCTCTTCGATTTCCTTCTCGTCTTCTGGCACTTTTATTTTATATCTTTTTTTATAAATCACTGTAGAGCAAATTCAGAGAAGCTGCTCCTCAAGTGGGTAGGAAGCAAGGAGCACACATTTACTTTTCATACATACTTTAGTATTTACACAGATCTCATACATAAAATAGAAGATATATACAGATAATAAACTTTATTGAACAAGAGAACAGATAGCACGAGAAACACAAAGAGCACAATTAAGGAAATATAAGTTTATAAAAGATATTGCACCACCACAGTTTTGATCGACAGAAACTTCAGTGTTTTCTGCAGACAAAAATATGATTTTCTTACAGCGGAGCTGTTAAGGGCTATACTCTGTTTCACCTTATGTTGTACCGCAGGGAAGGCTATAAGCGCGAGCTCCTTGCTCTGGAACAGATCTCGGCGGCACAAGCTCTCGTGCAGTAAGGGCAGCTGTCAACGCTATGAGCTCGCGCTTTGAGCCTTCGCTGCGGTACAACATAAGGTGAAACGGAGTATAGGTTCCCCAGGATCGTGTCCGGTACCAAAGAAATGTCGACACAAACCTACACGAACCTCTGG